CCACTGCTCTGAGGGATGCACTGTGAAGATTGGGAGAAGTCCTTACCTACCGTTTCCTGCTCTCGCCGTCCTGTTCTCTGCTGTAATCTTTATTATTTCCTTCTGCTAGGTTTGAGGGGTTCCTAGTTCCTTAACTGGTGGAGTTGGGTGGTTGGTTTGCGATCCTTGGTTTTTACTGTCAGCATTTACTGATATATCTCCCCTTATCGCTGCTTTCTCTGCATCCCACGAGTTTTAGTCTGTTGTGTGTATTTTCATTTGTCTCTAAGTATTTTCGCATTTTCCTTGTGATTTCTTCTTTGATCTGTTGGTTGGTTGTTTTAAAATGTGTTTTTTAATTCACAAAGTTGTGGCTTTTCCAGCTGCCTTTCTGTTGCTGGTTACTGGCTTCCGCCCGTTGCACGTTGTGTGCTGTCTGTATTTTTAAGCCTGTTGAGGCTGACTGTGGCTTAGCAGAGGGTCTGCCCTGGAGAATGTTCCGTGAGCGCGGAAGAAGAATGTGTTCTGCTGCTGGGTTGGGTCTCGCTGGTTTATTGTGTTCAAGGCCTCTGTGTCCTTACTTATCTTCTGTCTGATTGTTGCACCTTCATTGAAAGTGGGACATTAAATATTATTGTGAAACTGTGTATTTCTCCTCAGCTCTATCAGTCTTTGCTTCATATATTTTGATGGTCTGTCATTGGGTATGTAAGAGTTTATAACTTATATCTTGTGTTGAACCTTGTATTGACATATGTCTTTTGTGTTTTGTAACCTTTTTTGATTTAATGTCTGTTTTGTCTGATATTAATATAGCCACTCCCGCTCTTCTTTTTGGTTACTATTTGCAAGCAATGTCTTTTTTCATCCTTTCACTTTTAACTTCTTTGTGGTTTTAGATCTAAAGGGATCTCTGTAAACAGCATATAGTTGGTCATGTTTTTTTTGTTTTTGAATATATTTCTACTAGAGGCCCGATGCACGAAATTCGTGCAGGGGGCTTGGCCCTCACAGCCCCAGCTTCGTCCGGACAGTCATCCAGATGGTCATTCTGCTGTCGGTCTAATTAGCATATTAGCTCTTTATTATATAGGATTGCTTTCAGAGAGGAAGGGAGAGAGAGAGAAGCATCAATGATGGGAGAAGATCATTGATCACCTGCCTCCTGCACGCCCCCTACTGGGATCGCGGCAGCAACCTAGGCATGTGACCCTGACAGGGAATCGAACTGTGACCTCCTGGTTCACACGTCGACGCTCAGCCACTGAGCCACACCCACCAGGTTGGTCATGTTTTTTTAATCCATTCTTCCAGAGGCTGCATTAATTGAAGAATCTAATCTATTGACATTTAAAGTAATTATAAATAAGATGGCCTTATTTCTGCCACTTTGCTGTTTGTCTTCTATGTACCTGATAGCTTTTTGTCCCTCATTTCCCATATTACTGTCCTCTGTTTAGCTGATTTCTTATAGTGAAATGTTTTAATTCCCTTCTCATTTCCTTTTTTTATAATTTTACAACTATTTTCTTTGTGGTTATATTTAACATACTCAAGGCATAACACTCTGATTTGAATTTGTACGAGCTCTGCTCTGTCCTCTCTCTCTTGTTGATGCTGGGATTTCCGTTGGATTGCATTGGATCTGTACATCACCTGGGAACATTTGACCTCTGAGTAATATTGAGTCTCCTGTTGCATGAAGACGGCTTCTCTCCAGGCTTCTCTCGTTTCTCAGTGGTGTTGTAGTTTGCAGCGTACAGGTTCTGCACATACTTGTTAAATTTATTACTGAGTAGTTTGCTTTGTTGATGATACTCTAAATGGTATTGTCTTTTTAAACTTTAGTTTTTTGTATGTGGAAATAAATTGATGTTTGCTATTAACCCTGTATCCCACGACCTTGCTAAAATCACTTAGTGGCTTTTTTGTAGACTATGGTTTTCTATATAGATGATGTCTGCAAATACAGTTCTACTTTCCTTTCTGTATGCCTTTTCTTTCTTTCCTGTGCCTTATTGTGGGAATTTTGTTTTTATATTGTATAGCAAATAATACAGCAATTTTAACAATCTCCCCCTGAGCTCGATCGTCAGATTACTGAGGGCCTTTTCACTGCGGATTTATGATCTGTATAAGTTGAATTTATATTTCCTTTTCATTGAAAATATATTATGATTAAGATGAAACTTTTCATACTTAACACATGATGCATCTCATAATTTTATTATAGAATTTTAGAAGTATGTAATTTAGATACCATTTTTACTGTTAGCACGTTTTGAAATGATATAGTTATTTTTATGATAATGATAATAAAGAGTTTTCATTATCATTTAGGAAATATTGAACCAGTGACCTTAGTTATTCAGTTATGATGAAAGGCCTAATCTAACCTTTTATTTATTTTTTTTAAATATATTTTATTGATTTTTTACAGAGAGGAAGGGAGAGGGATAGAGAGTTAGAAACATCGATGAGAGAGAAACATCAATCAGCTGCCTCCTGCACACCCCCTACTGGGGATGTGCCCGCAACCAAGGTACATGCCCTTGACCGGAATCAAACCTGGGACCTTTCAGTCCACAGGCCGACGCTCTATCCACTGAGCCAAACTGGTTAGGGCTAACCTTTTATAGAATGTGATATTTATTAAACATGAAACTTCTGCCGAAACCGGTTTGGCTCAGTGGATAGAGCGTCGGCTTGCGGACTGAAAGGTCCCAGGTTCGATTCCAGTCAAGGGCATGTACCTGGGTTGCGGGCACATCCCCAGTAGGAGATGTGCAGGAGGCAGCTGATCGATGTTTCTCTCTCATCGATGTTTCTAACTCTCTATCTCTCTCCCTTCCTCTCTGTAAAAAAAATCAATAAAATATATTTTAAAAAAACATGAAACTTCTTATTTCTAGGACTTAATAGGACATTAAGCCATTTATTACTGCAATTAAAGAAGGCCTTGCAGACTAGATATTCTACTTCCTTGTCACCCAATTTAACTTTTTTTTTTTTAATTGAATATATTGGGGTGGCATCTAATCTAATAACAGACAAACAGGGTAATTGACCGTACCTTTGCTACACCTTCCATTGACTAATCAGCGAGATATGCAAATTAAGCAACAAAAATGGTGGTTAATTTGCATACGTAGGTGCAAAGCGGAGCAGCGAAGTCGCTGAAGGTGGCTCCGGCTGTAGCGAAGGCCTGGGTGCCAGGTGCTGGAGGAAAACCGGTGCTGGCAGCCAGGGGAAGGGAAGGCTTATTGCATGAATCTTTTCATGCAACAGGCCTCTAGTTGGTTAATAAAATTATAGCATAGGTTTCAGGTGTAAATTCTATAATATATCATCTCTATGTTGTGTTGTGTGTTCAGCACCCCAAGTCAAGTCTCCTTCCATCACTTACCCCCCTGCATCCAGTTTAAGTTTAACAATCAGGAAGTAGCCGTCTAAACCCAGGTTTGTCACATCTGTGTGACCCAGCCCTTGTGACTTCAGTGAGGTTGTGGAAGGAACAGTACAATGTGCAGGAAAGTAATCTGTAATGGCCCTTTAGCAGGGAACAAGCCCCTTTTACATCTCTCGTTATATTCTACCTGAGAGGGTGTATTTTACTTGCCATTTGGTACCTATTATTTATTTGCTTAAAACAATGGGATTTGGTACAGGGGTATATTGTTAAGTGTGGCAAGAAATGTGTGGCGTAATTGACGTTGGCAGAAAAGAAACCTCCAGTAGGAAAAAGAAAAGGGCACTGCCGTGGGAGCCTGAGGCCCATCTCTTCTGTGGGGTCTTCTTGTGTTTTTACTGAAATAGAATTTCCCGAGAGGACAGTGTCCATGTCATGAGGATGCAGCTCAGTGAATTGTCACCAACACAGCCTGTGACGTGGATAATGTTCCGTTACCTTGCACCAGAGCGGCGCCCTCCGACTGTTCCCGGTGCAGTGTGCATGCTGCCAGAGGAATGCCAAAACGAATTGTGATAGGAATGATAGCCAGCGTGGCTCCGTCCTACTGTGTGCACGTGTGCTCCTCCAGTTCCTCCTCACAGCACGTCTGGGAGAGGTTCTGCTGTCCACAGGTTCACGATGAGAAAACAAAGGAAAGAAGTACAGTTTGGCCCAGGCCAGTGTGCTAGAGCATCGGCCCGTGCGCTGAAGGGTCCGGGTTCAAGTCCCAGTCAAGGGCATGTACCTGGGTTGCAGGTATATCCCCAGCCTCTGTCAGGGCTTGTGCAGAAGGCACCTAGTCAATATGTCTCTTTCCCATCAATGTTTCCCTTTCTCTCTCTTCCTCCCTCTTTCCCTCCTTCTCTCCCTCTGCCTCTCGCTGTCTCCCCTCCCCCCCTTCCCCTCCTTCCTGTGTGGTTAAAACATTGTACTCTTTGTCACCTGTGCTCTTAGTATGGCCCATTTTCCCCCTCAGATTGACTGCTTAGGAGAATTGGAGAGCTATATTGTTGGGGAGCCCCTTGAGTTGGGGGCTTTTGTTTAACTACAGGATCATGAGGCAGTTTTATCTGCTTCACGTGGTGCCTTTCAGAGTTAGGGGTTGAAGTAGACGTGTGAGTTGGTTTTACACTTTTACTCATTCGTCTTTGACTTTCACGGGTGAATATTCAGAGTTCTCTTTGACAGAACGCTGATGGAGTGTGTGGCATTTCTGGCTGGTGGCATATAGTTTCCTTCCTCCCGAACAGGTTCCCTGTGGGGGGCACCTGCCGTGAATGACTTCAGATGACTTGGGCAAAGAGTAAGCGGGCACCCAGGACGCTCTTAGTTTCAGCTCAGACACCATTGATCCCGGGAGGGAGACGAGCTCTCATGCCTTCTCCTAGCAGCGTCTCCCAGCGAAACGTAGTTGCTCTTCATGTGCATAATTGATCACTTTATTAACCGGGGGGGGGGGGGGGGGGGTGTGAGAAGGCTTATGGAGTAATAAAGCATCCCTGCATTGCGTCCCGCGGGGCTGCAGGTGCTGCTCTGAGCGGTGGGTGCGCTAACGGGGCCTCTCTCCTAGGCCGCCTCGGAAGAGCTGAAAGCTGCCTACCGCAGGCTGTGCATGCTGTACCACCCCGACAAGCACAGAGACCCCGAGCTCAAGTCGCAGGCCGAGCGGCTGTTTAACCTCGTCCACCAGGCTTATGAAGGTCAGTGCCGTCGATTTTTAAGAGACTTGATGTGTAGAGGATCGCAAACGAGAGTCCTTGGAGGGCTGTAGGAGAGGCGGTGAGTCCGGGCCTTTCCACTGACAGGGTCTTTGGAAAGAGCAGGATTTTCTTTGGAAATCAATGTGTCGGTGTCAGTAGGAGGCGGGCGCTCAGGGAAGGCCACCGAGGGGAGCGAGTTGCAGGGAAACTCAATTTTCAGATCGTCGACTAGTTAGTTCCTCCGGAAGGGAACTCTTGGAGAGGAAAGGCTGATGGTTAAGACAAGCTTTCTGCTGTCTTTTAAGAGACAGTACGAGAACATTTTTTTCATCTGAAAGTGAATTTATTGACTCCGGGGCATTCAGTTAAGGAAAGGTTCTAACAGAAGAAAGAAAATGATATTAAGAAGGCTAACAGGCAATAGAACTAAGTAATTGAGACTTTTATACTTGCACCTTATAGATTTCAGAAAGAACATTTTGTGACATACTTGTTTATAAAATATTAAAGTCATTAATAGTTACAGTTTCTGTTTGCGATGATGAAATGGTGATGGTTATACAACAAAGTGAATGTACTTCATGCCACTGACCTGTGCACTTAAAAATTATTAAAAGGATCAATTTTATGTTATGTATATTTTTTTAAAATAATTTTATTGATTTTTTACAGAGAGGAAGGGAGAGGGATAGAGAGTTAGAAACATCGATGGGAGAGAAACATCGATCAGCTGCCTCCTGCACACACCCTACTGGGGATGTGCCCGCAACCAAGGTACATGCCCCTGACCGGAATCGAACCTGGGACCTTTCAGTCCCCAGGCCGACACTCTATCCACTGAGCCAAACCAGCTAGAGCTGTTATGTATATTTTACCGCCATTTTAAAGGTACAAATTTATAAAATGTTAAATCACTTTTAGGATGTATATCAAGTAGAATAAGTTGTTTATTCCAGAGCCATTTGGTGATTTGCTCTTTAATTAGGTTAAAAATTAGATAATGTGTTTCCTTATAAAATAAAGGCTTCTTATTATAGACATAAGACATAAGCTGTACTTCACTTTATAGTTTTACCAAAAAGTTAGGTTTTAATGACTGAACCCGGGGCCATGGCTGATGATACATGTGAGTTGGCATCGTGTCTTTACCGAATTCACTCTAATCAGGCCACTCTGGGGGCCTGACCACAGGCCTGGGCCTTCTCTAGCAGCGGTCGCCAACTGATGGTCCGAGGACCACTGGTATCCGTGAGGCCCGAAAGGTTGGCGACCGCTGCTCTCTAGGGTGCTGTGGTCTGCATGGCTGTGCTCATTTCCTGTTGTCTGAATTCCCCGCATAACCGGGACAGGCTTCTGGAGATTGGGGAAGAGTTAGGAAAGCCATCCCTGTGCGGGCGAAAATGCTGCGGCGGCAGCCCTGGCCCGCGCTCAGCCTGGAGGCAGACCATGTAGGACACTGACTGGACAGCCCTCGTTCAATCCCAGGGATTAACCCCAGAGGCCGGCGCGCGTTTCCCCGAGGTCAGCACTTCCCTCCGCCCAGCGGGTTTGAACACGGACAGCATCGTTTCCATCGTTTTTAAATTAGGCCTAAGATTATATGGGCGTCTCGCGGGAGCAGATGCCAGGGTCTCGACAGGAGCTGGCAGAGCAGAGCAGGAGCGCACGCTGAGCTTCCTGGGTTCCCACTTGGTGTGACTCTCCCGCCAGGAGCCCTCAGCGGATGTGGCCGGCGTCAGTCAGAGAGGCCGGCGTGTGGTCTTTCCAAATGACTTGGCGATAACGCGGAGAGGCGGGAAGAGGGACAGGAGTAGGTCAGACATGTCCGGGGTCAGAACCTGTCCCTAACCTCACGTCCCGCCTCTTCAGAAAGTGCCATTCGCGCTTTCAGGCCAAGGCACTTTACAGGCTGTGCGCACAGACTTACTGACTCTTAAAAACACTGTCCTTCAGTGACACCAGGTGCCCCTCTCAGTTCAGAGGGGCTCATTCGCGGCCACCGTTAAACACGGCCGAGGTTAGAAAGAAAAATAAATAAGCAAACGCAGTCAAGGCTGGCTCTGAGAGCAAGGAGGAGAAGGACGCAAAGGGAAGGAGAGGTCTGTCTCTAGGAGAGCGTGGGGCAGGGTGGGACCTGCCGGGATGCTGCTGTCAGGACAGGAAGGCGAGTCCTGTGCTTTTTCAACATGTGCGGTTTCTGTTTGCAGTGCTTAGCGACCCGCAGACCCGGGCCATCTATGACATCTATGGGAAGAGAGGCCTGGAGATGGAAGGATGGGAGGTAAGAGCGAGCGTGTCTGCTGCCCAGAAAAGGTCACAAACACCTGCAAACAGCCACCCCCAGCCCACCCTGGAGGAAGGAACTGGCAGCCATCACCAGGCGCCCAGGCCAGCAGCTCCTGCACAGCCCTGTTCTGCTCTGGCCTCTGGGCCTGCGCCTCCAGTCTTCTCATTCTATTTGTCTCTTCCTGTGTTTGTAATCCTATGGGCATATTCATGGGGTCTGTGCTACTGGCTGATCAGATTGTCTAATCTCATTCTCAATACTAGCGTCCTGCTGCCCAGAATATCCCTATGAATATCCAGGTGGAGGAGCCGGCGCCTGGGCCCCGGGGAGCAAGCGCTTCCTGTCCAGACCCTCCTTGTCCTTAATGAGGCACAGGTCCGCACTGACAGGGGTCCCAGCACATGTGGACACAGCCACAGGCCACTGAACGGGGTGTAGAGGCATGAGCCACTTGTGACGGACTTGAAGCCATTCTTTCTCGGTCTTTCTGGATCTTCAAGGTGAAATGGAATGGCTGATGACATTTCCCTGAAGTGCCTTTATTTTTCTTTTCTTTTGATGAAGGAGAGGCCGACAGATTGAGAAGATAGTGCACACTTTGCAAAACTGTACCTCCCCCTTTTTTTTTTTTAAATATATTTTATTGATTTTTTACAGAGAGGAAGGGAGAGGAATAGAGAGTTAGAAACATCGATGGGAGAGAAACATCGATCAGCTGCCTCTTGCACACTCCCTACTGGGGATGTGCCCGAAACCAAGGTACATGCCCTTGACCGGAATCGAACCTGCAACCTTTCAGTCTGCAGGCCGACGCTCTATCCACTGAGCCAAACCAGGTAGGGCTGTACCTCGCTTTTTGTCCCAGACAGGGTAACTCTGGGGACAGAAACGTGCCATGAATGGGTGCACGTGCCCGTGGCTTGTGAAAACTAGCAGGTGGGCATGTGCTCAGGTAAATACACCGAGCAGCCGCTGGCCGCCATTGAGGACTTGCAGCTCGCTCTCAGATGGATGTCACAGTGTTTTTATTCTAACACTGCCTTCGAAAGAAGCACCTTCCCGCCCTAGCCGGTTTGGCTCAATGGATAGAGCGTCAGCCTGCGAACTGGAGGGTCCAGGGTTCGATTCCGATCAAGGGCACATGCCCGGGTTGCAGGCTCAGTCGCTGGTAGGGGGTGTGCAAGAGGCAGCCAAGCAATGATTCTCTCTCATCATTGATGTTTCTATCTCTCCTTCTTCCTCCCTCTCTCTCTAAAAATCAATAAAAATAAATTTTTTTAAAAAAGAACCACCTTTCCCCCTTTTTAGTAATTAGTGGTTCAGCTAGGGCTATCAGAGAAAATGTTGGTTTTAGGATTTTCCCCAGGCACTTCCTGAAAGCAGAAGTGAATGAACTTCCTGGAAGTGTTTTGGGTTAGGCCAGTTTTTGTATTTATTTTCCTATATTGCTGAATAGTAAAATCAAGTTGCACAAAAATCCGTAATGTGGCCCCATGATGTTAAAATATGTACACATACATGCACGTGCCTAGAAGATTTGTAGGAAGACACACAAAGCACGAAGTGTTAGCTTGTGAGAGAGGGAGAGTGATGTATCCTTCTGTACTGCTTTGATTTTTTTTTTTTTTTGCTATAAACATGTATTTCTTAAAATAATTTTTAAACTTACGATTTCTAAGATGGCTTTTTCTCACATCACCCACCTTTTGGATGTTCTTTCAGTGGCCTCTCACCACGTCCCTGCGTCTCCCGCTGATACAGGGAATGTGCTGGCTGGTCTTTTCCCTCTCGTCCGTCTAATGCCTCACTCCTGTCTGCTCTGCACTCTAGTGTATCTCACAGGCTGTAGAACTTGGGGCCCTTAGCACGTGGTGCGTTTCCTCTCTCACAGATGTGACTGAGGCCCCCGGGGCCTCTCCCTGCCCCCCTCATCTCAGCCGGATCGTCTCCCGTCATGAGGAGCTAAGAGTGGCCAGGGTGAGCGGCCTGATTGTCTCAGAGGTTTGACGTCGTGTGCACCCCTGGGTGGTGATGCTCCCGTGGCCTGCTCTTTATTACCGAAGTATTGCTTACACCAAAGCGTAACTGATGCTACAGTCTGAGGTTCACGTCACATTGTAGGGGGAAGAGTCCCATAATTCATAAAGCACCCAGACCTGGGCTTGGGGTTCCTCGATCTGAGAAGCTCGAGGCATCTCTGGTGACAGCCCCGCACACGGGAGCGGTGGCAGTGCCATGTGGACACTGGGCCTTCATCTTGATGTTTAACATGTGTTATCCGGAACTCATTAGGGAATTTAAACTGAGACGTAAGGTGGTGTTTTCTTTATAAGATTCCTGCAGCCTCAGAGACAAGTTACTAAAATGACGGGACCATGACCTTGGTCATGACCAGGGCGCAGAGCTGCGAGGCTGTGCAGGTGAGCCTCGCCATCTGCTGTAAAACTCACCCGGTTTCGTTGACGTCTCCGAAGTCCTCGACTAGGGATGCACAGCAGCTTAACGCCGTGAGCTCTGGCTGTTTCCTCGCTTCCTGGGTCCCTGACTGCTCTCCCCTCAATTCCCCTAGGTTGTGGAAAGGAGGAGAACGCCCGCCGAAATCAGAGAAGAATTTGAGCGACTGCAGAGAGAGCGGGAAGAGAGGAGGCTGCAGCAGCGAACCAACCCCAAGGTGAGCCGCCCCGCCCGGGTGTGGAAGGTCAGCATCGTTAGGTGCTGGTGGTGTGAAAAGGAGGACCGTGCAGAACAACGTGTGGGGGAGGGCAAAACCACTCCCCTGCGTCTCCCGGAAGCCAAGGAGACTCCGAGCAGAAACACAGCTCGCTCTCTGCGACGTCTGTCTGGCCGTCCTGCCGAAGCCTTGACTGGAAACCAGTTAGAGGCCGGTGTCGGGAAGGGGAGCATGAAGCGCACTGAGCAACAGGCTCCTGTGCCAATCAGGACTCGGAGAGCCGGGCGATGCGGAGGGGCTGGGCCGGTTCCCAGCTGCACCCAGCAGGGGCCCGTGCTCATCACCCAGGACAGCGGGGCCGTGTCACCAGTCCCCAGGCTGCTCTTCAGTGATGAGGTGACCCTCTTTAACTCGATCAGGTCCCTGGCAGAGCTTATGTCATGTAGTCAGTGACTCCCGAGTCTGGGTTACATGTCAGGCCACATATGCAGTCTTTTTCCTTTGATTTGTTGGGCAAGCAAATGGTTCCGAGTGCGTGCCCCAGCCCTGTGACTAGTGGCTACTCGCCTGTGGCCCGATGATTCTGTCCCGCTGTTTAGCCAGCGGACTCCGCAGCCGGGCTCCGTCAGTGTGGCTGGGGCGGCCTCCAGGCAGCCTGACATCTGTGGCAAAGAGCAGGTGCGAGCTCACAGCTGGGGAGCACGGTGATGTGAGCTTTTGGTCAAATACGTTCTAGAACAGCCGTGGGCAAACTACGGCCCGTTTGAAATGAATAAAACAAAACAAAAAAAAGACCGTACCCTTTTATGGAATGATGTTTACTTTGAATTTATATTAGTTCACACAAACACTCCATCCATGCTTTTGTTCCGGCCCTCCGGTCCAGTTTAAGAACCCATTGTGGCCCTCGAGTCAAAAAGTTTGCCCACCCCTGCTCTAGAAGGTGGAAGGCCCGGCAGCATTGAAAGGACTGAAGGTTTAGAAACCTCCGTCTATTTGCGCCCCGCCTTTCAGAGCGCAGAGCACATGCCAGCCCTCTCCTTCCACCCTTCCCTCAGCTATGGCTTCGGTAGCGCACTGTTGGCTCCGGGCGGATGGCGTCGCCGCTGCATCAGCTCCGGGCGTGCGAGGTCGTCAGGAGGCCGAACACCTCGGTGGTGCCCTGAGCTGGCGGTCCCTTGGGCTCTCCCAGCTGGTGCTGGGCAGGCGGAGGCGAGGGTGGAGGGCATGGGAGGGAGCCTGGCCGGAGCGGGCTGTGGCGCTGGTGTCTGCTGTTCTGGCTGGAGTTTTGCAGCATTTGGAGCAGGGAAGGGGGAAAGAACGTCCCAATAGCCTGAGCCTGTCCCGTGATGAAATCGGCCATCTGGGTGTGCACAGTGATGGCCGCTGGGATCTGTGGAAATGTGCCTCCGGGCCCTGCTCTGTGGAATGGGGGTGCAGCTGTGACCATTCCACCAGCAGGCCAGCGAGGGGAAAACCCCGGCACTTTGTCCTGCCTGGAGCTGCTGCCAAGTCCGTAGGACGTCTTCTAACCACAGCTCTGAGCGATGACCAGACGCTGGCTCCACAGTGTTTTGAGGAGGGTTTCAAACTGGACCTTTGGTCCCATTTCTGAGTGTTCTGCTTTTCAAGATGAGCAGAAAGGTTAAGAACATTCTTACCCTGAGAAGAAAGGGGTGATCTCTCTTAAGGAGACCATACGGAGGAGGACCCCTTCAGGCTCAGCACTGGCCTCCCCGCTCCCCCCCCGCTCACCCCCAGGAAGGATCACAGCTCGTGGGGATCGGCAGATGAGACAGCATTCGTGAGCTGCCATCTGGAACCGGATGGGTGTTTCTCTCCATTTTCGTCAACAGGAGGCCGTTGGCAGGGGTTTTCAGTAGGATGTGCATGCCAGGAACGGGGGCATCGTAGGTCAGAAGCTCTGATCTGAAACTGATGGGCCCAGACAGAGCACTGAACCGTGTGTGGTTTCCTCACTCATGAAAGGAGCATATCTGCCCTGACTAGCACACCAGGTTGTTAAATGGTTGAGGAAATAGAAGTAGATACTGAATTAGTAGAGCAAGGCGAGCTGCCACATAAACGCAGAGGGTGCTGGGCCCCAGTGAGGCTAGGGGCTGGGTTTTGTTTTAGTGTTTCGTGCAACACTGCAGGGGGAGCACCTGGCTGGTCAGGCGGTTCCCTGGCCTGGGGTACTGGGTGTGGGTGGGGTCGTGGATAGCACTGTGGGACAGGAATGAGTGGAACCCCAGCTCCAGTGTGTGGAAAACGCACACCTACGCTGGAGGCAGTGAGGTAGAGCTTCTGGATTGGGGGTCCGATCCCGTCCTCCGGCCTTCGCTCAGTTTCCATGTGAAAGGGGGGTTTGCCACGAGGCCCACTGCTTGGGGTCACAAGTCCTTAGTTTGATTGCCTCTAACCTCTGCCATTGCTGTGGGAATAAATTCCTCTGTATTCCCAGCAGGGACGGGGTCCAGGGTCTCCTGGGCCGTCCACAACTGATGGGAGCACCCGCCACCTCCCTCCGTCTCTGAGGTCTGTTTTGTTGGCGCACTCCGTCCCATCCCCTGCCTTTGAGAGACTAAGATCATCCAGTGGGTGGCTCAGTGCCATCCTCATTCGTCTTGGTTATTTCAGTTCCTTCTTTGGCAGCACCCACAAGTCTTGTCTCCGGGGACAGCAGCCTCTGTGAGGGTCTTTGAAGACAGACCTGCCTTCCCGTGAACTGCCCGGAGCCCCCGTGATGCTGAGCCTGCGGGAGGACTCTGGGGAGCTTGATAGTGTGTCTCTGAGGGTAGAGCTGCTTTCTTTGTTGACCCTGTTGCGTAACAGTTTCATGGAGATTGTCCCAGTGTTTCCTGGACCGTTCCATTATCCTCTCTGATTTTAAAAGGCCATCTTCTCAATGGTTCCTATAATAGCTTAGAAACAGTTCAGCTCTATCAGAGAAAAAATTAAATCATGTATCAAGGAAGACATAGAACCATAAAAACACTTTTAAACCCCAAAATGTTTTCATAAAGATAGATGAGTACATTACTCAGTTATTTTGAAAGGATTTTTTAAAGGTTTGTTTTGGTTGCCATGGCTAATGATTATAGCCATCGGAATGGCCTGTGCTTATGAGCAGCTTGCTCGGTGGAAGGATCCTGGTGCCATAAACCGACTCGGCTTCCGCAGGACCATCAGCGGAGGAGAAGCAGGCCGGACCCATCTGCTCGCCGTGCGCGGTGCAGGAGGGCCGTTTGCCGTACGCAGCGCTGGGCTGCGGCTGCAAGGGAAGAGACTGGGAAGCTGTCATACAAGGAAAGGGACCGCGCGTGGCTAGTGCTGTGACAGGGGGTGGAGCCTCTGGGGATGGAAAAGGTGCTCAGACAGAGGGAGGTGGGGCCGCCGGAGGGTATGGCTGGGACCCAGTGGTTCTGAGAAACCTGTGAAGTTTGAGTTTGGGCCTCCATGACATTGGGGAACGCAGGTTCTGCTTGGATCTCAGAATGAGTCGAGCCGGTGTCACGGGAGGCGCCACGGGTTCGTTCATCTGCTGTAATAAAGTAAGCGAGCGGCACGTCGCCTCTTAGCGGAATTGCCTCTCGGGGTGGGATTTTCAATCAGTAAATTGCTGCTATTGAGATTGCATTTGACAGAAATTTCTCACATGATCCTTATGGCCACGTAACAGAACATAAACGTGGAGATGGTTCAGAATGGACACTCCTGGCTGAAGAACAAGCGACTCGACTCAGCGAGGGCTGACTCAGGCGTCATTTCCAGCCCGCTCAGGCCCCTTGTCCTGGGCAAGGGCTCGAACTGGGCGGCCTCCCCTGTGCCTGGCTGGGGCTTCCTCGCAGCCTGGCAGGCCCAGGGCACGCGGGTGTTCCGTGTGGGCCCGAGGCCCCCATGGAGTCTGCCATCACCTCCACTGACTTCTGTTGGGCCAAAGCAAGGCCTGGCCAGTGCAGAGCTGAGGCGAGGGCCCTGCCAGCGGGCACCGGGGGACCCTGGCAAGGCTGCTTCGGTTCCGCTTCCACACTCACAGCTGTTTTCTGAGGAAGGGACACGGAAAGCCTTTTCTCCTTTCATAACGTCGCCTGCCACCTTCATAAAAGTTGTGTTTCTATTTAAATCTCACGTTTCTGACATTTAATTGACTCTTCTCTGTACATCACAGTATTAATTGAGAAAATAGTGTCTTAATTCTAAATTTCTCCGTTCAGAACTTATAAATACTTTGGCCCACGCACTTTCCCGGGCATTGTCTTTTTGCCCCCACTCGGAGTATTTTTCTCTGACGGGTCTCATAAATTGTCTGTGATCTTGATGCCTCATCGAACTTAGATGGCACAGAACTGTAGGCTTTTCAATCTTGTTCCATTCCAAGACAGAATATAAATTTAACTAATTAAAAATGACAGCTTCTCCAAAAGATTCTCACCAAAAGTTAAAATATTCCCTAATGCCACTGTGGAATTTCACAACGAAATCAATTGCTGGAGCTCTGATCATGTTATTTGTTTGGGTTTTCCCTCAAGAGATGAATTTCAGGATATTCTCAGCGACAGGCCTTATGTTCAGTGATTGCAGTTTCTTCTTTTTTTTCAGATATTTTTATTGATTTCATAGAGAAAGGGAGAAGGGAGAAAGATAGAAACATCAATGATGAGAATCATTGATTGGCTAACTCCTGCACGCCCCCTACTGGGGGTCGAGCCCACAACTTCGGCATGTGTCCTTTACCGGAATCAAACGCAGGACCCTTCAGTCCGCAGGCCTTCGTTCTGTCCACTGAACTAAACCAGCTAGGGCAGTGATTGCCGTTCCTTACACGTTTATATTTTTATTTTTTAAATATTTTCATTGATTTCAGAGAGGAAGAAAGAGAGATAGATAGAAACATCAATGATGAGAATTGTTGGTCGGCTGCCTCCTGCATGCCCGCCCCCCACTGGGGACCAAGCCTGCAACCCCGTCACGTGCCCTTGACTGGAATCAAACCTGGGACCCTTCAGTCCGCAGGCCGACACTCTATCCACTGAGCTAAACCAGGTAGGGCTCCTTACGTGTTTTTAAAGCTGCGGGTTTATAGTGCTTGATTTTAAAAGGGCCTCTACAAGGACTCAGACGTGCCTACTACAGCCTGTAGTGCCAGACTGCAGGTCTTTTGTATTCGGAATCAGCCTCACGAAAGATGACTCTGTCGCTCTGAACCTACAGAAACGCTCATGCAGTGTGACACTCGCAGCTGATTTCCAGAGGGGGCCCTCGCAGCTGGCTCCGACAGGCGGCCACCGTCACACTGTGGCTAATTCCAAGGACGCCCTGCTCCTTGGGCTCCTTGCTTTAGTGAGAACGTTTTACCGTGATGCTGTATCTGAGTCCGACCACAAAAATAGGTCTACATTCAGCGTGGGGCCTTTAGACCAAGCTTATAGGAGCGCGTCACCCTCGATAAGTCCAGTGATAACGAAGGCTGATAACTCGACTGGTTGTCTGTTTGAAGCATCTGATGGAGCTTGGACATCACATGCAGCCGTGGGGTCTCCTGCTAGAACCAGCACAGGAAGAGCAGGTTCGCGCTGGCCAGTGTTGCCCAGTGGGTAGAGCGTCAGCCTGTGGACCGAAGGGCCCCAGGTTCAATTCCGGTCAAGGGCACATGCCTGGGTTACAGGCTCAGTCCAACGTGCAGGAGGCAGCCAATCAATGATTCCCTCTCATCACTGATGTTTCTATCTCTTCCTCTCCCTTCCTCTCTGAAATCAATAAAAATATATTTTTTTTAAAAAGCGGTGGCTTCATCTTTCATTCCTACGTCAAACTTTAGGGGGGAAAGTGAGTGCAGTTAACGAGGAACGACCACGGGCTCTCCCTGAAGTCGTTGCACAGTTCCGTGAAGCATGCGTGCGTTCTTAAAGAGCAGCTGGCGAGATGGGGGAGCTGCCTGAGCAAGCCCACGCGGGCTCATGTGCCGTCAGCACTGTGGGTGGTCAGTGCTGGGAACAGCCAGCTTACCAAAGCTCAGTAGCTTTCTGGGAAAATGGAAATTTAGTACTTTTTTTTTAATCACCTGAAGACATGCTTACTAAATTTTAGAGAGAGAGAGAGAGACAGAAAAACATTGATCAGTTAGTTGTCTTCCCATACACACCCTGACCGTGGATCGAACCCGAAACCTAGGTATTGTGCCCTGACTGGGAATTGAACCTGCAGCCTTTTTTGGTGTATAGGATGATGCTCCAACCAACTGAGCCGCGCCGGCAAGGCATACTTTTTTTTTTTTTAACCTACAGTATGGCCCTAGCTGGTTTGGCTCAGTGGATAGAGTGTTGGCCCGAGGAATGAAGGGTCCTGGGTTCAATTCCAGTCAAGGACCTGTATCTCGGTTGCAGGCTCAATCCCTCGCCCTGGTTGGATGGCTCAGTGGTTGGATCATCATCAGTCAGCAAAATTTTAACTTAGTGCTTCTCGAGACTATGGTGTTCTGTTTCTCAAAACTTAATTCTCAAATTAATGTTCACAGGCAGAACAATTTTTCGTTTGTTCAAAATTTATTTTGTTTGCACTTCTTTACCTTGGAAGGTATTTTTATGTTTTTAAGTAGTTTTGTGATGTAAGAATATTTACAAGAAAGTCTTTAATCTGTGTAGCTAGTTTCTAGGTTGTTTTATTAAATCTGGAGGCAATCTGTTTAGAGCCATGCAGTGGGTCCTATTTGGTCCCTGGAAATCAAATTGGGTAGATTTTGTTTATTGATTGATTGATTTTAGATAGAAACATGGATTTGTTGTTCCACTTATGTATGCATTCATTGGTTGATTCTTTTTTTCTTTATTGATTAAGGTATTACCTATGTGTCCTTATCCCCTCACCTCCCTATCGATTGACTCTTGTATGTGTCCTGCCCGGGGATCGAACCCGCAGCCACATTGGGTGGATCTTAGTTCTTTCCCAACACTCGTCTTTGGATGCCCTTCACCTGCAGGCGACAGGCTTTCTGACTTGAAGTCGGTGGAGCTCCGCTGCTGCTTGCCCTGAGCTGTGACGTCCATGCTCCATGGCTCGTGGGGGCGGGTCCTGCTGGGACCCAGGGGCCGCCGCTGAAGGTAGTGCATTGTCTCCTTCCACGACGCCTCCCCTGTGCTGACTGCTCGCTTCTCTGCCCCAGGGGACCATCAGCGTCGGCATCGATGCCACTGACCTCTTCGATCGCTATGAGGAGGAGTACGAAGATGTGTCCGGCAGTGGCTTTCCGCAGATTGAAATTAACAAGATGCACATATCCCAGTCCATCGAGGTAAGCGCACAGGCGCCCTGAGTGCAGCGGCTGGGTTAGCGAGGGAGTCTTCCCGGGTTTTCTCACTTTATTTAGGGAAGGATTCAGTGAGCCCCTGAGAAAAGAGAGCTGTAGCCCCAGCCTGTGTGTGACTGCAGCCCCAGTGCCGGCAGAGGCTGGGGACCTGCAGGGGCCTCTCTTTGGTCTAAGGGCTCAGGGCGTTCAGTCAGGAAGTGGAATGGCCTGGAAACCAAGTCATAGTGGTTCTGGGGGTGAGCAGACCTCGTGGGCAGTTCCAGAGACCGGTCCACACTCTTCCGTGCTGAAAACAGTATTCAGCGGAGCCCTGGCGGCACTGAAATGTCGTCTGTCTGCCCACTGTTTGGATGTGGCAGTGCCAGGCCAGTCTACTGAGGGTACAGTGGGTCTCTGCTTCTCATCTCATTTGTTCTCAAGCACATCAGCCCAGAACCTGAAGGCCTAGCTCAGTCGGCAGGGCCACGGGAAGGCACAGAGCAGGCTGCTGCCGTGGCCACGCTGAAGGCCAGCACCGAGCTTGCTGCCTCCCTGGTTTGTTTTTTTTTTTTTTTTTTTAATTTAAATTTAAAAAAAAAAATATTTTATTGATTTTTTTACAGAGAGTAAGGGAGAGAGATAGATAGCTAGAAACATCGATGGGAGAGAAACATCGATCAGCTGCCTCCTGCACATCTCCCACTGGGGATGTGCCCGCAACCCAGGTACATGCCCTTGACCGGAATCGAACCTGGGACCTTTCAGTCCGCAGGCCGACGCTCTATCCACTGAGCCAACCGGCTTCGGCCTCCCTGGTTTTTTGACATTTGCCCATTACAGCTTTTACAAGCCATGACCTTGGGGGCCACATGCCGTTCAAATGGCGAAGAGGGGAGAAGGGAAGCCTCTGTCAGGGGTGTGGGGTCGCCTGCACTGGGCCTTGCTCTTATGAGGCGTTAGGCTAGTCCCTGGGCTGCTGCCCTGGGCACTCCCTGTTGCTTAGACTCCTCTGTCACCAGCACCTGTCATTTCCTAGGCACCCTTGACAGCGACGGACACAGCCATCCTCTCTGGAAGCCTCTCGACCCAGAATGGGAATGGAGGGGGTTCCATTAACTTCGCGCTCAGACGGGTCACCTCTGCGAAGGGATGGGGAGAGGTAAGCACGTCAGTTGGCGGGCCATGTCCGTCCCAAAGACTGACCTTTGAACATTTACACTAAAAGCTGACCCTCAGATGACCTAGGTTGGCCTTATCACTGTACAGGGTACCAGGTGTCAAACTTAACAAGGTAACTTCCCAAGAGAAAAATGTCTCCGACCTGAGAGGGAACCCCGACTGCCGAACAGCTCAGAGTCAGGCCAGAGCAGCAGATTTCCCGGAGACGCCCACTTCCAGAAAGCGAACCTCTGGAACTCGGTGGCTTTGTTCCCTTTAAGCAAAACCTGTAGGCTAGTTCGTTCCCCACACAGTCAGAAGGCAGTGCCTGGTCCACTGGTTGGCAGTCATTTAACAGCCAGCTCCACCGAGCAAATTGAATGACACCAAATTAACATTGAAGAGTTGCCTTGAAAGTCACCCGGTCTAGTAAATGAGGTAGCCAGGGCTGGCAGCTTCCAGGCTGTGAGTCAGAACCGCTCATGGGTTTAACGTCAGGCCCCTGAGAACCATCGCCAGTCACCCGAGACCTGTGGGTGGCGAAGCCGAGCGGAATGGAAATGCGGATGGCCCTGTGAGGGCGGGAGGACCCCACCGGACTGCACAGCAGGCGCTCTGCAGACGTGGGGGCCGGTCTCCCCTGCCTCCCTGAGCGGGGTGGGGGGGGGGGTCCCCCTGGAGGGAGGGGCTCCTTTCTGAAACATGCCTCAGTGGCAGGCATCTCCGTCTGGCAGAGGCCAGGACGGGACAGTGAGTCTGCAGCCCCTGCCTTGGGAGCCCTGCCGAGGCCCGTGCACGGCATCGGGTGGAGGAGTCACAGTGGTGCCAGCCTGAGACCTGGGCTGCTGCTGGAGATGAACCACCTCTAACGCTTCTCTTTCCTTTTCTGAACAGTTAGAATTTGGAGCTGGGGATCTGCAGGGGCCTCTCTTTGGTCTAAAGCTGTTCCGTAACCTCACGCCCAGATGGTAAATATACAGAGATTAACCCTCTTTGAGGCCTTTGTGGATTGGAGAACAGAGGCTATGTGATCTCTTTGTCAAGGTCATCTGGATTTGCCGGCTGCCCTGTGGGTCACTAGGAAGGCGCTGAGGCTGTGCGAGTAGGGTGCACAGAGCCCTGGTGGGCCTGCTCTGCCCGGTGGTCTGCAGTCCTCTGGGGCTGTGAGGACCCCGAGACTGGGGAGAGGTGCCTTCATAGGGACATTGGTTAGCGTCTGGCACCTTCATGAGCTCAGGCACCGTTTCTTTGTCCCAGAGAATGAGGGTAAAGCTCTGAAAGCAGCCCATGAGCAGTGGAGCTCGGGAGACGCCTGTCTGTGGAGCAAAGGCACCAGAGCTTTGAGCCCTGGGGCCCTGGCGTCACATTCTAAACTCCCTCCCTGTCCCTTCTGGAACAGCAGGGGTGTCCTCATCGCACTCACTCGGGGTACTGTGAGCTCAGATGAGGATGGAGGGGAAGGTAAACTAGCTCTTTCCTCGGGTGGTGACATGTAGCTCCAGGAGGCCTGGGATGGGAGCTTGCTCCAATGGGGTGGTGACGGCCACACTGCAGGAGAGACAGGCCCTGCCCTGTGGTCTGTAGTGAAAGTAGCTCCGCAGGTCCATCCCACACGGAGCGGAAGGGGAATGGGAGCTAGAGGACATCAGCCGGGACAGGAGAAGAGCACAGTGTGGGAAGATGGGCGTGGCCTGGGCAGAGAACACAGGGAGGGGCTCCAGGCTCCCGATATCCTATCAGTAGAACTCCTCTGGGACTTGGACCAGGGTCTGGGAAGGGACAGGATTCATACTTTTATTAACGTAAAAAAATCATTGAAACCTGTAAAGAATTTTTGTGAGTTTGTTTGAGCCAAACTGTCACCATATGCCGGGAAGCAGAACCTCAATGAATTGAGATAATGCTCCGGAGAATGGCGGGTTACAACCGTATTTATACATTGCAGTCAAAGGAGGGCCGTAGGTGGGTTTCATGAAATCCATTGGTGATAGACTAGAGAGGCGGGAGAAAGCAAAGTGGGGAAACCCTTGGGATTGGATAAAAAGTAAAATGATGGACACATGCTTAGGTGGGTGCAGGAACAATTAACATGATAATGAAGGAATTTGTGGCATTTGTCCTGGCGCCCAGCACATTAGGTTGTGCCCCAGGGGCTCCAGAAAAGGGGAAGTTACAAGCGACCCAGACATTTCAAGGGTGTGTTAAAAAAGACACATAGGCCCAGTTAAGGTAAAGGTTGACCTTGTCAGGGAAGATACCGGCCTAGGCTATAACTGCCCACCATCACTGCTTCTAGTTAAAGTTTTATTCAGACCATCCTTTGTGGTGACTGTAGGTCTCTGAGTTTGCAAAACTGCCATGCAGGCCCCCCCTGAGCTTGTCAGGTCAGCATGTGGCCCCTTCCGTCCACACTTTAACCAGAGCATCAGGTGAGCAGTGTCTATGTGCGTGTCTGCATGGCCCCGGCCTCGTCTGCCTAGGGTTGTCACCTCTGCCCCAACCCCCCATTTGAGCAAGCAGAGCAGGGCGTTCTGAAGATCGGACACATGAGACATTTGAAGAAAATCCATCGGCCATTTCGTCTAGTTGAGCCTCCAGATGTGCACAGAGTGGGCACCGGGGGCTGGGGCTGGCTTTGCAGGTGTGGAAACGCCAGCACAGCCTCCAGGTCAGCAGACCTGAAAGGAGATTCGTAACAAGGACACTGGGTCGTCAGTGTGCAGGGTCCGCTCTGAGGGCGCCCTCATCCCACCTCAGCCTCCCTGTGAGTCCAGATGAGTGATCAGAAGTCTGTTGTGTGCAATCGGCCCTAGAAAGGCAGCCATGTTCTGCGGAAGTTCTCGGTCTCACCCAGGGTCTGTCTGTCTCTAGAACATGCTGGATGAAGAGAAACAGGGTCTCGCTCTGTATATTTTGGTTCTTTTAAATGTCACTGTGTCACTCTGTCTTAAAGCCCAGGGGTGACTTTTCTCTCTCTTCCTGCTTACTCCCCGGTGTGACTAAAGCAGAAAACATAGCCTGTGGGTGTGACATGAGGATGAGCTAAATGCCAGGGGAGGTTTGTTTGGGCCTGAGGAGGGCAGAGTTCAGTCACGTGGCTGTGGGGAGCCATGGAAGTCTGAGAGGAGCGAGTGTGATCAGTTACCACATTTGTTATTTTAATGGCAAAAGGGACGCCTCAGAGCTTGGGAAGAAGAGAGACACTAAATTTAGGCAATCTAGTGCCTACGGCTGGCTGCGAAGGCACCCTGTTTGCTCCCCCTTTGAACACCTTCAGTCAAATGGTGTGAATGCCTTTGCTTCTGACATGAAATACCCCTTTTTAACCAGAAGGTGGGGCTGGCTCCCTGGGAATAAGCTGCAGAGGCCTTTCCTGGAATGGCGTGCTGTGCGGGGTGCTGGCCTGAGTCGCAGCCCGCACCACACTTTCATTGTGACACTGACGAGATGCCGCAGGAACTGGACTCCTGTGTGTGTCAGTCAGCCTGTGGGAAAGCTGCTTTCGTTATCCGTCGTGTAGCTGAAAAGTCACAGGACCTATGGAGGACACTGAGGGAGGGCTCCGGCACCAGCTCCCAAGTAGCTTCAGTCCGTGGGCAGCCGTCAGCATCCCGTGGGCAGGCTTTGCATGCCTGGACCCCCGGACATTCCGGCTGAACTTGTCTGGGTGGGCTCTGGACAGTGGTTCTCAAACTGCTGCAGTGAGTCACCTGCAGCTTTGAATGCTCCACCCAGAACACCTGGCAGGAGACTCGAGGTGAGGCTGGTGTGCGGCCTCCCAGGCGATTCTGACTTGCGTGGGCCTGGCTCCCTGGCTGGGAGCAGGCGTCAGTGCCTCTCTGGGGGCTGAAGTGGGAATGGGTGGGATGGTGGGTGTAAATCAGCAGGGCGACAGCGGGAAGATTCCACTGAGTTGCCCTTTGTCTCCCTCTTACGATAGAGGCTCAGCCTCCTGCTCTCCGTGCCGGGGGCTGGCCCGGGGTCATGGGCGTGCTGTGAGCAGGGTCTTAGCAGGGAGGAAGGGGCTGGGAACAGCTGAGAGCCGGCGTCATCCAGGACCTTTCTGTCTGTCCCTCCCCACCCCCCCACCCCTAGCTTTGTGACGACCAACTGTGCGCTGCAGTTTTCGTCCCGGGGGATCCGGCCTGGCCTCACCACTGTCCTGGCTCGGAACCTGGACAAAAACACCGTGGGCTACCTGCAGTGGCGGTGGGGCATCCAGTCGGCCATGAACACAAGCATCGTCCGGGACACCAAAACCAGCCACTTGACCGTGGCCCTGCAGGTGAGGCGCGTCCGCCCGCTCCCTCAGCCCCGCTCCCTCAGCGTGCCCCTGGCAGCCCTGCCCGAATCTGAGCAGGAATCTGAGCAGCCGGGGGAGCTCGGGGGCGGGTCCCGGTCACTCCCTCTCGGGGGCTGAAAGGCCGTTGTTCTCAGGTTCCCAGGGTAGCTGTGTCCAGTATCCTAAAGCGGGGGGGGGGGCACCCCGGCGGGGGGGCACCCCAGGTGGGCAGGTGACCCAGAGCAGAGCTGTGCACTCAGATGCCACTTCGGCTGGGCAGGGAGGTGAGACAGGCTGCCCCTCAGAGGCAACTCTCACCAGCTGCTGCCATGCAGGCTTGGTGCTAGACGCTGTTCTCATGAGACGGCAGGAAAGGGGGTTCATGTGAAATCTCCTTGTGTGAATATTGGCTCCAGGTACATTTTCCCGCCTCATGGGGCTGCCAGGGGGTGGCCCTGCCGGAGGGGCCTGCCCGCCCTGTGTGCCCAGCGGCCAGTCAAGGGTAGTGCCCTCCTGGCCACAGGTCCCAGCCACTGGCCATGTCTCTTTCCCTGTCTTCTCAGCTCGGAATCCCTCACTCCTTTGCCCTGATTAGCTATCAGCACAAATTCCAGGATGATGATCAGACTCGCGTGAAAGGCTCCCTGAAGTGAGTGCTGGCCCCTGACCCGGAGCCTGCCCACGGGGTCTGCAGCGGGAGCTGGTTGGGGAAGAGCCGCTCTGTCCACCTGTCACATGTGACATTCTCAAGCGCCTCCTACCGAGAGGCGGTGGGATTCACTCCTGTGGGGGCCCAGGGGTTGAACTGTGACGACCAACAGTGTCCTGGCCTGGTTCTGTCCGCGCCCTGTGGGTGGTGGCAGGGGGGCGGCGGGGGCGGGGTCCACCCCTGTTGTGATGACGCCAGTCTGCGCCCTCAGGGCAGGCTTCTTCGGGACGGTGGTGGAGTACGGGGCGGAGAGGAAGATCTCCAGGCACAGCGTGCTGGGGGCCGCTGTCAGCATCGGCGTCCCGCAGGGCGTTTCTCTCAAAGTCAAGTAAGTGGGACTCGGGTACCTGTGACCACAGGTCACCCGGCTTCTGTGCTCACTGGGCTTTCCCTACGTGAGGGATGGAACGGATTTCACTTGCTAATGTTCTCAAAGGAGCGGTTGCCTCTTCTGTCTTTGGTGTTGAAGCAGATGTCAGGGAGCCCATGAACTCCCCCTTCAGTTAGTGAGGCCCGGCTTCCACGCATCTGCGTCTCTTGCTGCCCCTGCCTCCCTGGCGGCCTGGACACCTGGCTGGGTGCCGGCTCCGGCCCCCCTCACCGACACCACACGCGCCTCCAGCGTCCTCGGCAGCACAGGCAGCGGCGGTTGTCGCTCTGCACCGGTCCTTCCTGCCCCTCTGCTGCCTCTGGCTTTACCTGGCCAGTCGCTTCTGATCACATAGCCCGAGAAATGGCGCCTCGCGCTGCCCTCCTGTGTGTGAGTGACTGGGAACCCTGATCGGCCTTCGCACAGACACGGGTTGTTACAGTGTCAGGCCGCGGAGGCCGCCCTTCTGCGTAAGCCCCGGCACTGCCTCCGTGGGGGCAAAGCCAGCGTCCTGGGCCCCGGCGACCTCCCGTCTGGCTAATAATAAGTACTTCACTTTTCAAAGAACCAGATTGTGGCTTTGCTCATTTTCTCTACTGTTGACCTGTTTTCTGATTCACTGATTTCTGATTTTATTTCCTTTCTACTTATTTTGGTTTGATTGGCTCTTTTTTTTCCATCTTTTTAAGGTCAAGCCTTAGATTATTAATTTCAGACTTCTCTTTTGTTGTTAATCCTCACATATTTTCATTGACTTTTTTTTTTTTAGAGAGACTGGAAGGGAGGGAGGGAGACACATCGATGTGAGAGAGATGTCCATGCTGTCTGCGTCAGTCGTGTGCTTTCGGTTGCTGTGCAGCATCACGTTGTGTAGATGTCTGCAGCCGGTTTGTCCATCAGTTTAGAGATATTTCCATTGGCTCAATGATGAGCATCGACCTATGAACCAGGAGGTCACGGTTTGATTCCCCGTCAAGGGCACATGCCCGGACTCCGGGCTCCATCCCTAGTGTTGTGGGGTGTGCAGGAGGCAGCCAATCAATGATTCTCTCTCATCGTTGATGTTTCTCTCTCTCCCTTCCTCTCTGAAATCAATACAAATATATATTTTTTAAAAAGACGTTTCCATTGTTTACAGTTTTTGATGACTACAAAGCCCATATAGGCATTCACGCGTAGGTTTTGTATGAACAGTGAGTTTTGATTTCTCGTGGGTGAACAGGCCTCTGGGAGGTGTGCGCTTACTTTACACCAGAGTGCCAGCCTCTTCCGAAGCGGAGGTTTTACTTTACTTTCCCAGCAGCAGCACGAGCGTTCCAGTTGTTCCGCTTCCTCACTAGCCTTTGGATACGGTCTGAATTTTGCCTATTTGAGTTGGGTGTATAGGTATATCCTGTTATGGGGTTTTTTGTGGGGCTTTTTAAATATCTTTTTATTGATTTCAGAGAGGAAGGGGGGGAGAGAGAGAGAGAGAGAGAGAGAGAGAGAGAGAGAGAGGAAGAGAGGATCATCGATTGGCTGCCCCCTACTGGAGATCAAGGCTGCAACCCAGGCACGTGCCCTTGACTGGAATCAAACCCTTCAGTCCACAGGCCGACCGACGCTCTGTCCCCTGAGCCACACCAGCCAGGGCTCCTGTTAGGGTTTTGATTTTCCTAATATCTAACGATGGTGAGCTGAGCATCTTTTCATGTGCATATTTGCCATCCGTGTATCTTTCTTTAATCTTCATTGTTGAAAGTATTACAGATGTTCCCTTTTTCCCCCACTGACCCTCTCTAGACCCCCCACCCCTGCCCCAGGCCAGTGAAGTCTGTTTAAACCCTTTGTCTGGTTTCTTATTGGGTTGTCTGGGTTATTTTTGAGTTTTGAGTGTTCTTTTTCTGGAGCTACTTTTAGTTTTGAAGGGTGTTGTCCTGGACATAGAATTCAGGGTATTCTCTCAGCGCTCGAAAGGGATGTTCTGCTTGTCTCCTGGCCTCCGTGTCTCTGATGGAACTCGTTCACCATTGGGACCTGCGTATAATATCTGTTTTTCTGGCTCCTGCACTTTTGTTTTGCTTCGGTTTTTCAGCAGTTTGACTGCCATGTACTCACTGCGGCTTTGTTGTGTCTCTGCTGCTTGGGCTTTGGTAAACCCTATGCATTTGTAAGCTTAGGTGCGCCATCAGATTTGGTATTTTTAGGCCATTAGGTCTTCAAATGCTTATTCCTGCCTCGTTCTCTCTGCTCTCTGAGCCCTAATCGCTTGTGTATTAGATCTCTCTCTCTTTTTTTTAAGAGAGTGGAAGGGAGGGGAAGAGAGAGAGAAAGATCCACATTGATTGGTTGCCTCCTGCCCGTGCCCCAACAGGGGCTGAGGATCAAGCCTGCAACTGAGGTATGTGCCTTTGACCGGAATCAAACCTGCGACCCTTCCGTCCGCAGGCCAGTGCTCTATCCACTGAGCCACACCGGCGAGAGCTGTATCAGGTCTCCTGCTGTTCCCGGCGGATTCCTGAGGCTCTGCCCATTTGGCTTCAGTCCTTTCTCTCTTTGTTCCGCCCACTGAATAGTTTCTGTTGGTCCATTTACAAGGACGCTGGCTCTTCTCCTCAACTGGAGTCCGCTGTTGGGCCCAGGAGCCGCCCAATGAATGTGGATGCTGTGAGCGTAGTTAAAACTTAAACCCTCACCTGTGCCCGAGCTGGTTTGGCTCAGTGGATAGAGCGGCGGCCTGTAGACTGCAGGGTCTCAGGTCCACTTCCACTCAAGGGCCGTGTGCGGGAGGCAACCAGTTTTAGCCAGTCAGATGGTACAGGTGGGAGGTGCCCTTAGGCTGAAAGCTGGGGGACAGGAAACCGGCCCCATTCTCCCAGCGCCAGCCTCTTTTGCCCTCTCGTACCTGACCGTCTACCTGAGGGATGATCGGCCCAGTGAGAGCTGCTCAGCTGTTGCTGGAAGCAGAACCTCCTTAGCTTGCTCACTTCAGGTGCCTGCACACACTCAGACCAGTGGACTGAGGACTGAGATGTGGCACTGTCCCCAGGACACCGGGAGGAGTGTCCACTCCTGCCTCTTAAGGCCACACCTGCTCTGGTCAAGCGTTAGTCTGTGGCTTTGCCCTTGAGGTCAGCAGGCGCTGGCTTCCTTCTGTCACATCCACCAAGTCCCGCAGCTAAGCTTTGGACTGGGGTCCAGCACAGGAGAGGAGTTCCTCCCACCTGGCGTTCGGGGGTCTCAGAGGCTCTCTCCCTGGGGCTGAAACCCCGTACCTTCCCTGGAAACCTGACTCACCTTCCATGTGCTGTTTTGTTTTTGTTTTCAGGTTGAACAGGGCCAGTCAGACTTACTTCTTCCCTATTCATTTGACGGATCAGCTTCTTCCCAGCGCCGTGTTCTACGCCACCGTGGGGCCCCTCGTGGTCTACTTCGCTATGCACCGTCTCATCATCAAGCCATACCTCAGGGCTCAGAAGGAGAGGTGAGTTCCACGTGTGTCACGGGGACGCCACTAAACAACTCTGTGCCTCAGTTTCCTCGGCTTTCCAATGGAGATGATACTAATAGGACCCACCCCACATTTCTATCAGGAAAAGTATTTAATATGTGCAAAATGCTTAGCATGGGTCCAAAATAAGTCGTCAGTAAGTGTTAGCTATTCTAGAAGTGCTGTTCTTATCCTTTGTCATTCATTCCTACTTTCAGAAAGGACTAGATCAGCCGTGGGCAAGCTACGGCCCGCGGGCCGGATCCGGCCCGTTCGGCTGTTCTATCCGGCCCGCGGAGCCGAAAGAGTGGAGGGTTCTCTTGCTCTCCCCTCCGCTCCTTCACCAGCAGCCGTGTTAACATGTATTAGTTCACACAAACACTCCATCCATGCTTTTGTTCCGGCTCTCCGGTCCAGTTTAAGGACCCATTGTGGCCCTCGAGTCAAAAAGTTTGCCCACCCCTGGACTAGATGGTTTACAAAATTGTTGAGACTTTAAACCAGGGGTTGGGAACGTCTAGCCCGCAGGCCATGCAAGGCCCTCAAAATCATTTGGTCTGGCCTGCCGAGGCTTTAAGGGTGCCTTCATCAGGGAGGTCAGGGTCCTGACTTCCCAGGAGGCTTGAGGCTGAAACAGCATGTGCTGGGTCGAGGCTTCTAATGGGACAGGTGTGTGCTGCCCGGGGCCCCTGAGCGTGGCCGAGGGGAGCGTGTATGTATGGATCTGAAGGCGTGCGCGCGTCCTTCCCAGAACGTCATGTGCTAATCCCCGAAGGTTGGCGTCTCCTGTGACGCACCTGCTCTGACCTCCCACATCCCTGAGTCACTTCAGCTGAGTCTTCTCTCCACGGGGACTGGCAGTGGGTTTCCCGTCCGCTCCGGCGAGGAGGCGGGGAGCCATCCAGGGACACGGTGAAAGCTGCACGGGCCTCTGACAAACAGATTTGCCTGAGATTGTCTTGGAAATATTTTTAAAGTTCTAGGACTAGGAATGCAATAAGATCACAGACTGTTTGCTGGGCACAGGTCCAACGAGGGGTAACACCACGCTAATGTGTGGCTGTGTTTTTGTCACATAAGGGAATTGGAAAAGCAAAGGGAAAACACAGCTACCGACATCCTGCAGAAGAAGCAAGAGGCAGAAGCTGCGGTGAGTGCCGTCGGTCCCCCGACGTCCTTTTGCTCTGTGTGCTCTGAGCGCTGCGTGCAGCACACACTCTCCTCTGGCCTCCGGGCCCCGGGTCCTTCCCTCAGTCTCAGTCCTCAGGCCTGGGGCTCGGGCTGCTTCCCGCAGCTGCACTCGCACTGCAGTCCTTAGATCGCCACTGGCGTGTGCTTCCGGGAGCTGCAGGCTCAGTTCCCAGGGTGAGACTTGTAGAAGGTGTTGTTTTCACGTGGTGGGTGGTGCCCCCGCTCCCTTCCCCTCACGTGACTTGTTTTACGTGACGTCACAGAGCCGTCCAGGATAAGTGACCGCACTGCTTGGTCCCTGTGGACGGGGGAGGCTGTCTCTGAACAGAGGTGGAGCCCGGCGAGCGCCCTGATGGCCGCCTGCCCCGTTCTTTGCAGGTTCGGTTGATGCAGGAATCTGTCCGAAGAATAATCGAGGCAGAAGAATCCAGAATGGGTGAGAAGGCACGGCCTCTCCTGGGACAGGGTGGGCGAGGGGGATCTCAAAGGAGCACCCCGCTCCTGCAGCCCAGCTGCGGGTGTCAGCGGCCCCTCCCTCCCACACTCTGACTGACCCGTCCTCAGGCCTCATCATCGTCAACGCCTGGTACGGGAAGTTCGTCAACGACAAGAGCAGGAAGAGTGAGAAGGTGAAGGTGATCGACGTGACGGTGCCCCTGCAGTGCCTGGTCAAGGACTCGAAGCTCATCCTCACAGAGGCCTCCAAGGTACAGCACCAGGCCCCACAGGACTCAGACAGAAAGGCTTCTGGGGACAGTGGCCACTGGGAATGGCCATATGGCCATTTCATCGCATCAGAGTCCTGCCCAATCTCATACCCAAGTTATGTCCACGTTGGAGCAATTTACTTCATGCTTTCATCCATCCATTCACTCAGCAAGTGTTTACTAAGCACTTACTATGTGCCAGTCACAATAGCAAACAAAACCCCTCCGCTCCCTGTCAGGGGCGCCCAGCATTTGCGGTCTCCCTCCTTCCCCGGCGCATTACCTTGGCCTTTCCCTCTCCTGAGCTCCAAGGGCCCTTCTGTCACGTGTTTCCTGAGCCTGCAGAGGCCATACCTCTGTGCTTTCTAAATGAGCTTTCTCTTAGAATTTGAAAAACAAAACAAAATGTCCATCCTGCCTTCGTGGAGCTTGCCTGCTGCTCACTGCTCGCCTCGTGCCAGAGGCGTGTGAGGTCACCTCCCACAGCCGAAGCTCACGCTGGAGCCTGGGGTGTGGACAACGGAATTGAATTAAAGTTCAGATTCGCACCCTGGCCTGCGTTGCACAGTGGTTAGGGCATCAGCCTGCACACCGGAGGGTCATGGGTTTGATTCTCGGTCAAGAGCACGGACCTGGGTTGCAGGTTCAATAATTAGTCCTGGTCCTGGTCAGGGTGTGTCATTGGGAGGCAACCAATCGATGTGTCTCTCTCATATTGATGTTCTCTCTCTCTCTCTCTCTCTCTCTCTCCCCCCCTCTCCCTCTCCCCCTTTCCCTCTCCCCCTCTCCCTCTCTCCCTCCCTCTCCCCCCTCCCTCCCACCCTCTCTGAAATCAATGGGAAGGATATCCCCTGGGGAGGATTAACAAAATGCGTATCTCTATAAAGTGCAGGTGCACTCAAGGCCAAGAGCTCGTAGGCCCCTGAGAGGCCTTCCAGTGTGTCTGTCTTGGTGGGGCTTCTGTGACGATAGTGGTGTATTTGGGGGGCGCGGCATGTTGAGAGAGAGGCTAGGACTAAATAGGCAATTTTTTTCAAATTCTCATTTCTTTCTCCTCAAGTGGCCAAGTGTGCGCCTTCCAAGGGAAGAAGGCGCCGCCTGCAGCGGGGGAGCAGGTGGGCATGTGCATTTAGACACCTGTCTCGGGCGCCCCTCGAATCAGGGTCTCTGTTCCAGGCTGGGCTGCCCGGGTTCTACGACCCGTGTGTGGGCGAGGAGAAGAGCCTGAAAGTGCTCTACCAGTTCCGGGGCGTCCTGCACCAGGTGATGGCGCTGGACAGCGAGGCACTCAGAATACCCAAGCAGTGTGAGTAGCTGCCCCGTGGTCGCCGCCCCGTGCAGGGACGGGAGAGGCCCTCCACTACGGCGGGACGGCGGGACTGGGGACATCCATGTGGAGCCACAGCCACCTGCCCGCCCTTTCCGCCTGGGAGCACACGGGCGTGGGCGACTCCCTCGGGCCTGGGATGCGCTGCCCTGGGGGTCAGTCTTTCTCAGGTGGAATTACAGGGAGCGCTTTCCTTGAACTGCAGCTCAGGTGGCAGGGTATGAAGCAAACCCAGCTGCTCCTTTACTTTCCAGAACCATCCGTCGGGCCTCTGGTCTGCTGGTGGCTGCACCCGAGTAGAGGCAGGCTGTGGAAACAGTTGCCTTTGCTGCACTGAGCCTGTCTTTTCTCTTGCAGCTCACAGGATCGATACAGATGGATAAACTGCTTGAGAAAAAGAATTACAGGAGGCTGCGAAGATCTTTTCCTGGGCGTCTACAAATTTGGAAGCAGGGAAACCCAGACGTCACAAGTTTATTTTATATTATTCCTAAGGAGGTGGTACCCTATCAATTATGTGAAGGGACACAGACACCCGGTTTTGTGGGTGCTGCAGGCAGACTGAGGCAGCCCTGCCAGGACCAGAACCTCAGCACAGCCGTGTCTGTTTCCCAAGGATCATGTGCCCGAGGGAAGGGCCCTGGGCCCCGGGCGCCACCCCATCGTTCTTGGTCTGTGAGGAGGCGCCGTGGAACATCTGCCCTCGCACAGGACCGGGACTGCCTTTCCTGCCACCACCCTGACCTGGAAAGGAAGGAAAGACCAGTCTGCAGCCAAGCGAGCATCTGGGTGGTGGACTTGCGGAAACCGCCTTTTCCTGCTGAATATGGAGGAGCGTGGGTTTATAAATCTGCTTTTTATCTGAGAACAAATGCTTGGGAAATTAATTACTCTTCTGTCCTCCCAGAACTTCTCCAATCATTCCACTGGCACCTGGCTTGGGACAGAGCAGTGACCTCTGTCCCCAGACCCATCCCTGTCATGGTCACTTCCTTCCAGGACCCGCCCCCATCCTCGTGGGAAAAGGCGGTGCCCGCCCACCCCATCCCACTCGGCTCAGCCTAACCTGCTGGTGCCCCACACAAGGCGCAGTGTCGGAGTGAAGAGGGTCGGGGGCGAAGGGGAAGCATAGAGGGGCCTAGAGCACCTGCCTCAGACTGCCAAATCCGCTGAGCAGCTCCCAGGCCTGCGCCTCACCCGCTCGGCCAGCAGGTGGCGCGGCTGCTCTGCACACCCCGTCTGGCCCAGCGCCCTCGGGAGAGGCCTTCCTGGGAGTCTGCTCCCCAGACCTCCTTCCTCCCGCGCCTGTTTGGTGTAGGAGCCAGGAAACTGCCGAGCAGCCGGGTCTGGTACCTGTCATGAGAGGCCCGTGGGCGGTGGTTCCGACAGCTTCAGGCTTCACCTGGCGCTGGTACCAGTGGAATTGCTAATAACCCCTCCAGTTTTTACAAACAATTCAGATTGTCCAACCCTGTAATATTTATCTCCATTTAGAAAGTCCTCTGAGCTGCTGCCCTGGTGTGACTCGTGCAATAAGCCTTGCGTTTATCAAGCCTGACTGGACCCACCCCGTTCCCTCCGGGCAGGTGGCTGGCTCCTCTGGGCACCGCCTCTTCCTTCTGCCTGAGGGACTGCAGGAGGCCTCTCCACAATAAACCTTCCTGAACGCGGGAGTGTGCGTGCATCTGTACCCTGTGGAGTGAGCAGAGGGAGGGAGGTGCCCCCTCAAAGGCTGTCCCTCCCTGAGCCTTCACTGTCCAACTCGCGTCCAAGCCTGCGGTGGCCCTGGGAGACACAGCCTGTTTTCCGCACTAGGCGGGGACGGAGGCAGAGGCCAGGGCTAGGGACTCCCTTAGGCGAGGTTGCTTGCTGCTTTTCATTTTTACTAAAACCACCTTTTTTGTAGTCAAAGGTGGTCATGCCCCGCCTGCTCTTCAACGGGAGACAGGAAGTCAGTCTTCACAGCATCACCAAAGTGAGCAGGAGCGAGAACTTCAAACTAGTGCTTGTTTTGATTTTTTAGGTTTAAAAAAAATTTTATTATTGACTTTTAGAGGGGGAGGTAGAGAGAAACATCAATCAATGTGAGAGCGAAACATGGATCTGATGCCTCCCACAGGACCCCTCCCAGGGATCAAACCAGCAACCTTTTGGTGCATGAGACCACGCTTAACCAACTGAGCCACACTGGCCAGGACTATTTTTAATTTGTTTATATATTTTTATTGATTTCAGATAGGCACAGAGAGATAAGAACATCAATTATGAGAATCATAATTGCCTCCTGCATTCTCCCCACTGGGAATGGAGCCCACAACCTGGGCATGTGCCCCACCCAGGAATTGAACTGTGACCTCCCGGTTCATAGGTCAACGCTCAAGCACTGAGCCACACCAGCCGGGCCCAGGACTTTTTTTTAATTTGAGAGAGAGCAACATGGGTTTGTTGTTCCATGGATTTGTGCACTCACTGGTTGCTTCTAGTGTGTGCCCTGATCGGAGATTAAACCCCCAACCTTGGTGTATTGGGATGATGCTCTAACCAACTGAGCACCCCGGCCAGGGCCAGCGTTTGCTTTTCCGTACAGGAGGAAACCCTTTACTGTAGGAAGACACTTGGTCACCTAGTTCCATCAAACCAGGCCGGGAAGAGGCACTCCTTAGAACAGAGGCCGCTGTCAGCCGGAGAGCTGGCTGTCCGGGCAATGGAGGGGCCACTCCTGCCTGAGTCATCTGTCCCCCCTCTGGTGCGGGGTGGGAGTGACCCATGCACTAAGTCCCTCCCCACAGGGGTGTCTGCCACTCTGCTCAGCATGCTGTGGTTCTGAGGACGCTGGCCTGGCTCGTGCGGAATGGACAGCTGGGGCTGTCACCTGGATGACCAAGTTCCTCATGTTCACAGCCCGACGCCACCGAACCACCTGAGGCCGCGCTGGGCTCCTCACCTGCAGGCCTCGCTGCCACTGCCAGCAGCAAGACCGAAAGGCTCGTGGCCAGAGCCTCTGAACCGCGGCCCCAGCGCCCAGGCTCAATGAGAAAGCCGGGCTGCCGGGCTCAGCTCTGCTGCTCTGGCCGGGGCCCTGCCTGGGGGCCTGGCAGCCCAGCTCTGTGGGCTCGCAGGCGGCGGCACAGCCTCCGCATCACCAGCCTCTGGGCCTTCAAGCGCTTCCGGAGCTTTTCGTTTTCCTTCAGGGTCACAAACAGTTTCTTTTTCAGGGCGTCTAAGTCCAAAAGGGCGTAGCTGTGGTCAGATGGCTGTGGGGGGCTGGCCGGCTGAGCAGGGGCCTTAGCTGCTTCTGGTCTACATGGCAGGACCTGGGGACAGTGGGTGGAAGGTAAGCAGGGCCCAGAGGCCACAGCCAGGGGCCTGCAGGCGGCCCTCCAGCAGGAGGGGTAGAAGGGCCTCGGCCTCTTCCCTCAGCTCTCCTGACCCCAAGTCTGCCCACCTGGTGGCTCTTCCTGTCACTGGGAAGGTCTGACGTCAGGGCCACACCCCTGAAGTGGTCAGTCTGGGCACTGGTTCTCCTCATTTTATTTGAAACAAATCCCCTCTTGCCGAGACCAACGTTCCATGTGGTGCCTTGGTGCCTGGCCTTACCTGCCCTACAGGGTCTCTGGCGCTGGGAGGCCGCTGCAGCCCTTCGAGGGCTGTGTCTGTCTTTCTCTCCGGGCCATGCTCCCTGGCCTCCGCTTCTGGGAAGACCTAGAAGCACAGGGCAAGGCTGCAGACAGACTGACTCCAGCACGTGCAGACCGGCCCCCAATGCACGCAGACCGGCCCCTGGCACAGACCGGCCCCCAATGCACGCAGACCGGCCCCTGGCACAGACCGGCCCCCAATGCACGCAGACCGGCCCCTGGCACAGACCGGCCCCCAATGCGCGCAGACCGGCCCCTGACACAAACTGACCCACAGCGCAGACCGGTCCCCAGCGAGCAGACCTACCTTTTCCTTCTCAGAGTCGGCATTCCCACCCTTGCTGGCTGCGTCTGTGTCTTCCCTCACCAGCTGTGAGACAGGCAGCTGCTGTGGACAGTGGCCGATATTGGGCCCCCGTCGGGGTGTAAGAGACCTGCACCCCAAGAACCTCACGCCAGGTGCCAAGCCTCGCGCTGGTCCTCATTCTCCGGCCCATGTTTATCCAAGTATCCGGGGCCTAGAAACCCAACCCACCTCCACCTCCGCCCACTCGTATCTGTTCTCCCAAGATGCTCCCAAACCTTGGCCAGAGGCCTTGTGACGCCAGGGACCTAACTTGTGTCGCCCCAGGGCCTGGATTCTAGGCGAGTAGTAGTGCCTCAAATTTTGCTCAATGAGTGGCAGCCACGTGGTACAGAACATCCCCTTAGTCTGTCCCCAGGCGCTCACAGCTGAGCCGCCCACGGCCAGACCAGCTCCAGGCGGGATACGCATCTCAGTCCCCTACACCCCCAGTGGTTAACTGCAATCCCTTCTGGGGCAAACACGACCACAGGAAAGTGAGCTAACTCCTCTGAGGAGTTGGGGTGCAGTCACTGACAGTGGGCAGTTCCAGTGAAGCCGCTCGGGGACCGGGAGCCCAGCTGCACACCGGGCCACAGTTCATAGCACCGACACCTGAGTGAGGGCAGATCTCATGCTAAGTGTTCTCCCCACAGCTAACTTTTATATATACATAAAATAAAAATAAAAGGCCTCCCGTTACAAAACCACCCAACGTACTAAGCACCTACTTTGTGCCACAATGTTCTTGGTGCTGGGGCTACAGCAGCGAAAGCCGTCCCTGCCCTCAGGGAGCTCGCGATGGAGGGGGAAGACCCCAAACGGAACTGTGCCAAGTGCCAGGAAGCAGGGAGAAGGGAGGAGGGAGTGGGAAGGAGGGACGGGCCAGCAGGGATGGTGGGGACGCTGGGGAGGGCCCTCCTGCAGAACCAGTACTCGGACTTAAGAGGAGGCGGCCGCTCGCGTGGAGTCTGGGGGATCATCGGGCAAAGGAAAGACGTGGCAAAGGCCTGCGGCCTGCTCACAGCTGGCGCCTGCTCCTCCTCACAGCCCGCCATCTCGTTCCCAATAAAATCCAGCTGGCCCGGCTGTCTGTCTGCCTTGTGTTCGTCCCACCATCACTTTCCCTTCCAGGCTGAAGCAGTCCCCCCACCCCACCCCCCGTGGGGCCCACACTCTGGGACTCTGCAAAGCTCACCTCTAGGAGTTACGAAATTCAATGTCCAGCGGTCAGTGAGCTCTCTCCTGAGCCAAACCTGCACACCCCACCCCACCCACCCACCAAGGCGCGTCCACTCCACATCCCATTGGGGCATCCAACTCCACAGGACGAAACGCCTCAGAATCTGGGAACCCCACTCCCAGGGGTTCAGAGAGCTCTCTCCCCCTACCTGGCCACCTCCCTCTCAGCCCATGGGTCTGCACAGTCCATCCACTCGGTCCTCTCCTCACCAACCCACCTGCGGCTCAGGCCATGACGGCACTCACCTGTGACACTGCGGTGGCCTCCAAACCAGCTTCCGGCCACAGGGAGCCTTACAAAGCCACGTCCCTCCCCACCGGCCACCCGAAAAGCAGCCGCCCGTCCCAGCTTGTCACCCTCTGCAATCCTCCCACCAGCCTGAGCCATGCTGCCCTGAGCACAGCCAGGTCCCTTCCACTGCAGGCCTCTGTCCACGCTGCCCAACAACCCCCACCCCCCCACCCCGTGCTCCACCGGCATGGCCCTTTCACCGAGAGCGCTCAGCCAGCACCCGCGGCACCAGCAGGACCTCAAGCGAGCGGTGCTGAATGGCAGCGGCAGCCTCTGGCTCCTTGATCACAGGCGCCCAGGCCCCGGCTGGCTACCAGGAAGAGGTCCGAATGCCGCTCAGCTGCTGCCTCCGC